ATAATTTTGGTGGGTAATAAATTTTTATATGATAAAAAAAATAAACATATACTCCATCCGTCCCAATACAATAGTCTTGTTTACCATTTTTGTCCGTTCCAAAACAATAGTCTTGTTTCTATAAATAACAATATCATCATAAAACTACCCTTACTTTTTCATTTTTATTAGATAATTGCCACTACTTTTTACACTAATATACTCACAGGGCAAAAAAGTCTTTTATCCATACTTTTTACTAACTACCAATATAATATCAATATTCTTTAAATCTCGTGCTCAACCCAATTAAGACTATATTTATGGGACGGAGACACTATATTTATATATAATTAACTTAAAATAATTTTATAAAAGATGGGGATTGTGTGTTTGTTTTATGAAATGATTTGAAGGAATTTATATTTTTTTTTGTGAAGTATAAAGAATTGTGTAAATAATATGAAAATAATAAATATGTGTAATATATTAATTGTTTGATGAGAACGTGTTTGTTTTCTTCACAAAAAAAATACAAAGAGTTTTAAATGTAGATAAAAATATTTATTCATTGAGTAGATCAAAGGTAAAAAAATAAAGTAGTTTCGAGGAGAGATTTATATTTCTAAGTACATTTTGAATTAGATAGTTTTACCAAATATAAAAAGATATCATTTATTATGCGACTAACTAAAATGAAAAATGTATCATTTGTAATGAAAAGAAATGAGTATATATATCACATAATTATAATACTTCATCTGTCTATAAAGTACCAACAAAATATAATAGACACTCCTTCCGTCCCATCCAAACTAGCCTTTTAGATTCTTATAGTAGATTTTTAAAAAATAATATCTTATTTGTTTAAGGGATTTGTGAAGATTTGTACTATTCATCCCATTTTTTCCCCCAAAAATATCAAATCAAACATCTATTTTTTAATTTTTATATTATACTCCCTCTGTCCCATAACAAAGTATCTATTTTTCCATTTTAGTCCGTCCCATAACAAAGTATCAATTTCATTTTTTAGTAACTGTACTAACTACCTAACATTAAAAATACCCTTACAACTTACAATATATTACACAAATGTCATTACCTTTATATCACACATACTAGTAAGGTTATTTTAGTCATTTTTACTTTATTCCTACTATATCACAATATAATACTAATATTTCTAAAATTACGTGCAAAAAATAAATAGATATTTACTTATGGGACGGAGGGAGTACTAAAAATCAATTTTACATTCAAAACTTCACATCAATACCTATTTATATCATATCATACAACTATTCAAATTCAAAATTTTTACTATTCAAATTCCAACTCAAAATCCAAATCCCCAAACAAACACACCCTTAATGTACTATTATTTTAAAATATTAAAATATTTGTTAGTATTTTCGATTGTTTTACTAAAATATTTTAACAGCGTTTTATTTGATAGTATTTTCATCTCTATTTCATTAAAAAATGTACTTTCAATTGAAACAAAGAGTATTTCTTTTCTATATAGAGATTATGTGATGATAATAATATTTAAATGATAATTTGTCGTAATTTTGAGTGTAAAGATCTTTAATTTGAATTTATTATTTAATTTGATATAATAGTATTAATGTAAATAAATATAAATTTGAAAGTATTTATAATTTGTATTACGATCAAACTTATTGACAAGAAAAATATATATTAACATAAAAATATATATATATAGATATATATTGTAAGTGGACCGATAGTATATTAATTTTATCAAAGATTTTAGACTTTATTTAGACTCTATTTACAGGAGAGCTTTAAAAATTTTGAAATTTGAACGAATCTTAAAAAAAGACGTAAAAAACTAGATAATAAATAGGTATTATATATGATAGATTGTATGGAAAGAATATTTTAAGTATAATTTTAAATAAGAAATATGTATTTAATATAACGTTTTATTGTAAAAAATTTCAAAAGTACATGTAAGCATAGCCCTAAAAAATTCTAATTTAATTTAAATTCTACTATACAATAAAGTGGACAATTAAACTTTATACTCTAATAACTTGGAATGAATAAAAAAATTAAGTAATTAATAAAACTTAAATACAATTTTTTGAATATTTTTATATTAATCATAAATTTTAATTTTTCGGAAGAAGAGGAAAAGGAGGAGGTGTCGTCGGCGGTGACCACTACAAAAACAAATGTTTAAAAACAATGTTTATTTGTAGTGGAATCTCATTCGCAACAATATTTTCGTTGCAAAAATTATTTTTTATTTCGGATATTTTTGTAACAAATAATTTTTTTAATTTGGTCAATCTTTTTAATTTTGTTGTGGTATGTTTTTGTTACAAATATCATAATTTTAATTTCAAATTTCAAACTAACTTTAAAATAATCTTAAATAATATTATCATATATATGCATATATAATATTTACATATTAATATATATACTGAAATTAAAATAACTGTTTTTTTTAAATGAAAATTATTATATACAATTAAAAAGTAAAATTAAAATTGGGACTTCTAAAGAAACCCTAGACACGCCTCATCTGGCATCCGCTTCTTCCTCTCCTCTGTTCGTTCTTTGTTCGTCTTCTTCGTTCTTCTTCGTTCTTTCATCTTCTTTTTTTTTTCACTTTTCTTCTTCTTCCCGTACTTTCTCATTTTCCTTCTTTTAAGTTATCCGTACCGTACCCCTGAACCGCGCCGCCTCCGCATTCCTCAACCGTTGACTGTGCTCCGCTGCCGCCTTTCTTGACTCGTCGACCACGAGCTGCCCCTGCCCACCGACGGTAAGCCACTTTTTATACGGTTTCTTCATTCTATTGTTTTAGTTTATTGTATTGAGGCGATTTTAGCAGTAGTTTCTTTTGCGCCGCTGTTCTTTTTGTTTTGTTATTTTGCTAAATGTTGGGTGAGGATAGCAACTTGCGTATTTTGAAGAAATGAGATTTGGTGAAGCCTTCTAGCTTTGAATCTGTTTAATTTGGCATGTTCGTTGATTTTTTCATGATGCATGTTGTTTTTTTTTATTTACTTTATTTTTTGTTTGTGTTGGTGTTAATTTATGATTTTATTTTTTGCGTGGTGGTTAGCTCAATGATACAAATTGCATACCTTTTCCAGTTCCTGAAATCTCTCACAGGATGCTGTATTTTTTGGCATCCTTCGAAGGTTTCCAATTGTAGTGTTTGCACTCTTTATCTCATTCTTATGAATGTTGGAGCAAAATACATTCCAATTAAAACATTTCTTTCTGAAATAATACAGTTAAAAGCTTTTGTTTTAGTTGTGAGTAACTTTATGATTCGAATCAAGACATGTGTGGATCAATCATGTTATGAGTAGTAGTTTTTGGTTGTTTTCTCAGGTTTCCATGGATGGAATTTGGTAAGTATGTCCAGTGAATGGTGGAGCTGTTCAATTTCCCGGCTTTAATGGTAATGGAAAAATTACTCATTCCGGTGCTTATTAACATCGTATCCATATAATATAATTTTTTATCAAATAATTCTAAAGAAACCCCCTGTTTCAATTCATAATCCATTTGTTTTGTAATACATATTTTGAATGTTTTGTTTGCTGCACAAATAAATCATTTTTGTCTTTTTTTTGCTTCACAATTAAAACTATTCTTCACTTGATATAATTGTGTATTTGGTGCCCTGCATAATAATAGTCTAATCTAATAGTCATTTATTTATTTATTATGCATGTATGTTTGTGTGTGGGCTGTTTATAGATTATATTGCAGGTAGGATTCTGGATTGGAATCAGGCATTGGGAAAAATAACATGACTGATAAACTATTGTATTCCTATTTGAGATTCTCATTTCCTTCTCATCCCTAGTTATGTTTGCTCTTGTTCTAATCATTTAATGTTCACTACATATGGTTTTTTTTTTCTTTATCAATGTATTAATTTCCCTCATAATTTATAATTGAAATTAGCTTGGACATTATTTGTCTGCACATCCATTGCTAAATGTTTGATTTAAATTTGTTTCAGCTTCTACTTACAATGGTTGTATGTATTGAAATTAGCTTTTGAATATGTTGAAAATAATTGTTGTTTTACTAAATTATATTTGATCAAAATGTGTATTGCATGCTTATGAGAGATATCCAATTAGCTTGGTGTATTTATTTTCTTTAATAACCATTCTTGCTTATCAATATTTTTGAAATTCTTTCTAAAAATTTGTATTTTCTCCAAAACATAAGTGCGACATGAGTACCGTTACGCAGTTATGACCTTTCATACTTAGGATGCAAGCTACCCAAGTCAGCTATATTTTATTCCCCAGTTTGAGAAAGGACAAAGATGACTGGTTGGCTATTATCGGGTGAAACCTCGAGGTTGGATTGAAATGGTAGATGGAAAATGTTCACTCAGCCGGAAGCTGTTTGTTCCGTATGGTCTTGTTGGGGAGCATATATGCACTACAAAAATAAAGTAATTTAGCTACGGATATTAGCGAGGGATCTCACATCCCTTGCCAGTAGTGACGGTTTGCGATGAATTGTTGCGATGGAATAATCTCTGGCAAACTTTCATCATGTTATATATTGAAATGAAATTGGTTAGGTAACTAGCACCTGAAAATCCTTTACTGATTTAAAGATGATTATTGTAAAAAAAAAATATTAGGAGGGAGTTAAATTCCTAGCCAACTATTATTTACAAAAAAGAAAAATAAACATTAAATTTATTTAACTTAATAATTTTATTATTTAAACATATAAAAAAATTAATTTATAAAATATAATGCATTTTTATTTTTCTATATATATCAATTTTTATTTTTATTCATATTAATATCAATCTCTATTTTTATTCATATTAATATTATGTTTTTTTTTCATAAAATAATAATAATGTATAATATTGTCAATTAAAATTAATTTACTAGAAATAATAATTTTCTTTTACCCTACTCTTCCTCTTTTCGTCCTCCTTCACCGCCTCTAATTTTTCCTCTTCTCCTCCTCCTTCACTGGCGCCAACACAAGTTTTGCTTACCGACGTATTTGTTGTGGCGAAATTGTTCCAGCAGAGGAGATGTGTAGAAGGTGTTTCACATTTCTACGCATTGGAGTTTGCTTGGTAAGTTTTTCATCGCTCAAAATAGTATCCACTGCACGTGGTCTTCTTCATCCTTTCTTCTCCTTGTCAATTGGCTTCTCTGCTACTTCTTCTCTTTAATAATGGATTGTATGATGTGGTTCTAATGGATTGTATAATGTGGTTATGATGGTTGATGCTGCTAGGTGGTAGAGCTGACCTACCAAATGGTACCAATTGGTAGCTCTCTTTGTTTTCTTTAATTTTCAGGTAATGTACAATTTACTTTTCACTTGAGATTAATGTCCAATATGTATTTGATTGAGAATATGATAAATTGTGCATCCATTGTATTAGTTGCATATAGGTAAATTTTTTAATAAAATCTATTAGGAATATGTTCTTATTGATGTTGATACAAGATCCTTTTCGATTGTGTAATTTTTCCCATATTTTCCTCAATATCAGTTTTGTGTGTTGAGTTCAATTTCATATGATCAATACTCATGATCTTTGGTCACTAATAGCAATTATCATTCGGTTGTTTCTCAACTGCATGGTGTTTTGGTGTTATGGTGAATGGTCATATTTAATAAATCAATGATATGTTTTGAGTCTACAAGTTCACTAGTTTGTTGTGAGATTATGTTGGTGGAAATGGAGTTATTTTTTAGGATAATTTGGTTCGGATCAATGAAGGATCAATTGTGTATGTGATTTTGTTGTCAAGTGATTGAGGCTCATGAATGATTTTTTTTTTGGAGCCCATAATTTACAAACACCATTTATTCACTCAGTTTTTGTTTTGGTTGCTGTCACATTTATCTTACTATTTTTGTTACGGAAGGGTTTGGTTACTAATGTTCTTATATTTGTGTTGTGACGATGCATATGAATGCAGTCATTTGTAAGTCAGTCAGTCGGTCAGAATATATATGTGTGTGAGAGATTTAGTTGAACTTATGTATTAAAATTCATTTAGCCAGGGTTGTGCCTGTGGATATGGTGAGTGAGCGAGTGGCTATTTAGTCTCTCCTTTTAATCAATCTAATATCTATGCTAAGACAAACCACATACATACATGACGCCTAACATGTTAAATTTGATGCTTCTAAGGTGGTTAGGAAAGAAGGTGTTGAGTAAATCGATCTTCTGATAATCACTAAAGCTTCAACAGGTAGGAAGATCCCGGCTCTTTAGTGCAGATGATTTTACATTGGGAATATTCTATTGTTGTTTTGTTGCGCTGCTTTATATAAGTTTTTTTGTTAGATATTAATGCAATTTTTTTTGATAAATTTTCTTTTCTGTTTTTCTAATTCTAGTACATCTTGCGAAATTGAAATAAATATATATTTTTTTTATTGTGTATTTGATGCAATTATTGATATTATTATTTATAATGCAAATTAAGTTTCATGATCCTAACATGACTTTGAGTGAGACCCACACCACATAAGTCTTTCTTCCTATAATGCATTATCCTATAAATAAGGTTGTAATTATACAACAAACTAGTAGTATTATATACACATGTGTGGGTGTATTTGTGTGAAGACCTTCATCTTTCAATGTTTTCATTATAATATTGAGTGTTTGTGGGGAAGCTCATAAAAAATCCCATCTAAAAAACTACTTGCATTAGTTTAATGGATAGTGGAAGGTTGAGAAATGATTGAGAACTCAAGGGGATAATACATATACCTTTGCTTCAAATTCGTGTCTTGTTTATGTATATATTATTAGTTATAATGAAAATTAAGTTTATAATGATGAATAACATATATTTATTATTTATGTGTTGCTGTAGGATTTGCTTTATAACTGCAATTGTCTAATAATATATATATACATATATATATATATATATTCAAACAAAATCACTACAAAGGAAAGGGCATGACATACACTTTATACGAGCAGAGGATGTACAATTGTACATTGCCAACTGTCATCAAAACTTTGCTGCATAATATGCTATTCTTTACCTGCTTACACATTTGATCCATGCCTATATAAATTGAGGTTAACTACTGAAAGCTATGGTACATTATGCATGTCTTTGTGGGGGAGTTTTGCACGACTTTTTTCCTGATTTTTATCATATCAATGTTCTCATTATTGTATCAATGAATTGGTCTAGGAAAGAATATATCAATTAGTATAACATTTGCTCATTATTATTAGTCTTACATGTGTCTCTTTTCACGTGTTTTTCACGTGGTCTTTCTCTTTCTTGGTCACTCAATGTTTATTTGCTTGTTTTCATATAATTTGAACATTGTATGTGTTGGATTGTGCGTGCCTCCTTTATGAATGCAAGGAGGCTTTTACCAAAGTTTTATGATTTCCATTTTTTATGTATTTAATGTTTGCCAGTATCAATGCAATGGCAGATCTATTATATATTGGATTAACTTGTGATTTCCGGTGAACTTCAAGAATCCAGAAAGGAAACTGTTGCACGCCTAATAGTTGCACAGGTATGATTTGCTCTATAAAATCCGTCTTGTGATTGATTAATAACCATTAAGAACAGAGAGTATGCTATCATTACTTTTTGGAAAATTTCATAGATATATGAAAGAAAGTATATACAAGAAACTGTTGTGTATACGATAGATTATTCTTTTGAAAACAAGCTTTATTTATTGTTTCTCAATGAAGTGATATGCAACTCAAAAGATAGAAAACATGTAAAATAGAGCAATTAATTTTTTGATATATATAATTAATTTATGCAGGTCTTATGTTAAAATATTGTTACCATGAGTAGTATCCGAAGATCTTGGATGTACAACAGAATGCGTAATGGCATTCTGAATAGGGATTCTATGGCCGGGGTAAATGATTTTCTCAATTACTATGTTACTAGCCCTAAGGTATATAAGATTAATGGGAAGATAAAGTATCCATGTAAGTGTTGTGCCAATGCCCCATTTCTTTCTGTGGAGGAGATTAAGCATCACCTATACACTAAGGGTTTCGTAAGATTGTATGAGCGATGGACATGTAATGGTGAAACACATGATGGTAGTGGTACCTCCCATGCATCGGAGGTCCGAGAAATTGAAGCACATATTGATCCTAGAATAGGTGATTACGCACGAATGGTGATGGATGCTATAGGACCAGAGTTTGAGGTGCGTAGGGAGGAGGAGGTTCCTAATCCTGAAGATAAGAAACTATACGATCTCTTGAGCGCAACAGATAAACAATTGTGAAAAGGTTGTACCAAAGCAACTTTACTATCAACAATGGCTAGAATGCTTACTATTAAGGCGGATTTTAATCTACCTGAGAAATGGTTTGATGTGCAGTGTCAGTTGATGCATGACATCATGCCAGAGGATAATTCTTTCGTCAAGAACTTTTATGAAACCAAGAAATTGATTGAGGGTTCGGGTCTTCCAGTAGAAAAGATAGACTGTTGTCAGTTGGGCTGTATGTTGTATTGGAGAGAAGACGCCGAACTAAACAGTTGCAGGTTTTGCAATAAAGCTCGATACAAGGAAAAAATGGAAAAAAGGTACATGCTCGGTATATGTTCTACTTTCCGCTCACACCGAGGTTAAAACGCTTATATGTGTCCTCTCAGATAGCTTCATTCATGCGATGGCATGCGGACCATCGACATACCAATGAGGATGATATGTGTCATCCGTGTGACTTAAAGGCATGGAAACATTTGGATGCAAAATATTCATCATTTGCATCGGAGGTTAGAAATGTGAGATTAGGTCTTTGCACTGATGAATTTCAGCCATTTGGACAATATGGGAAACAATACTCTTGTTGGCCAGTAGTTGTGACACCATACAATCTTCCGCCTAATATATGTTTAAAGGACGAGTATGTATTTTTATCGCTTGTTGTACCGGGCGGTGCAAATCCAAAACAAAAAATTGATGTATACTTACAACCTTTGATAGAAGAGTTGAACATGTTATGGAGCATTGGGGTTGAAACATTTGATGCTTCCCGTAAGGAGAACTTTATTATGAGAGCAGCCTTATTGTGGACTGTAGGTGATCTCCCCGCTTATTCGATGTTGTCTGGTTGGAGTACATTAGGAAAGACAGCATGCCCTATATGTCAGAATTAAACTGTGTCTTTTCATTTCCCTAGTGGCTGTAAGCAATCGTGGTTTGATACATATCGTAGATTTCTACCGGCCAGTCATCCATATCGATCTGACAAGAAGAAATTTAAAAAGGGGATAATTGATTCGCGACCTCCACCACGTATTAAATCTGGGGATGATCAAGTTCAGGAACTCGATTGATATGGCTTTTTAAAAGTAACAGAGATGAATGTTGATGAGACTAATAAAAGGCTATGCAAATTATGTGGGTGGCGTAAAAGAAGCATATTCTGGGACTTGCCATATTGGAAAAACGTGTTGATTCGACATAATCTAGATGTTATGCACATTGAGAAGAATGTGTTTGAAAATATATTCAATACTGTAATGGATGTGAAGGGTAAAACAAAAGACAATGCTAAAGCACGGGCAGACATGACAATTTTTTGTGATCGGAAGGAGCTTGAATTTGAGGCGGCCCGAAATTGCTATCCTCCTGCGACATACACCATAGACAAAGCGGGACAAAAAGAATTCTTACATTGGGTTGAAAAGTTAAAAATACCTGACGGATATATGTCTAATTTGCGTCGGTGTGTCAATACGACGAAGCACAAGATGTTCGGAATGAAGGGTGATACATATATTGTGCCCGTACATGAAACATACCAAGATGCAATGGTTGAGCCGTGTGCCATTGAAGGGGTTAATACTGGCAATAATTTGAATTTAGTGTCTCTTGAAGGTGTTGGGGGAATACCATTGGAGGATTCAGATCTATCTGACACCGATGAAGAGGTTTATCTTGAAACATCTGACTTTGAGACTAATTACATGGAGGAGACTAGCGATGAAGATGATGTTTCATATGAATAGGTCAATACAATGTAGATTTTTATAATTTTATTGTATTTAATAAAGTTATAATTTTTATTATAAGGTATAAATCAATGAAATAAATTTATTTTTTCTTTTGAAATGTAGATGTCTCAGGATCAATTAGATGATGAGATTGACCGACATATATCAGATGTTGTCCAAGCTTATGTTGAGGGGAGACGAGAGATGACGAGGGCAACAAATAGGACATACGGATGAGGTGCACCCGACCAATCATGGAGGTAATTTGGCAAGAGCTTGTCTTTATTCATATTAATATAAAATAGAGAATTATCATACTACTTACAATTTGTACATTTGCATCATCTTCTACAAATTCATATGGATCCATTGTAGCTTCAGTTTAGTATATAAATAATATTTATTTTATATTTTTTTATTTTATAATAATTTGATACCAATTGTAGGATCAACTCCAACGATAGCGCCTATCACTGATAACCGCATTAAGATCAATGTAGAGCCAAATGGAAGGTATATATGTCAAAATTCATATGTTTAAGTGTAAAACATTTAACATTCAATTATTGCAGTGTCCTGTGGCCTCGAGAAGCCTCAAAGGAGTTCCGGGATATCTTCCGTTCATCCATCCATCGTCAAGGCACTACTTGGATGAAAGTTCCACTAAACATCAAACAGTGGTATGCAGAGGAAATGAAGGTAAAATATTTGGTTGAATAATAAATATTACATATATATTTAATTTATATTTACTAATTCGTTATATAATGTTGTTGCAGAAGCATGTTACATGGGACTCCACTAATGAGAAGAAAGTTCTATGTGTGTACAAAAAAAAGGCCCAAAATGCATACAACCAGTGGTTGCATTGCATCCGGCATGGAAAAGACAAAAAGACCGACGAAGTTCTCAACCCGGAGGTCTTGGCTGAATGGAGAAGGGTTTGGAGCTCTAATGATGCCAAAAAGAAATCGGAGATTGCAAAGAAAAATAGGCGGTGGGGTCTTCCAGATATTAGACCTGAGGCTACGCATACATGAGGGTCTCGGTCGTCTTATGAGATGGCCAAGAAGATGGTATATAATTCTATAACATTAAAATAAATATTGATTCATAAACAATCATTTTATATTCTCAATTCTAATGCAGGGATTGAATATAACTGAAATGTATACTTGGGCCCATACGAAGAAACACAACCGGATTGAATATGTAAATCCGAAAGCATCTAAGATTGTTGTATGTTATCTATAAACTAAATATATCACAATATAATATAAATAACACATTTTATTTTCAGTTAATGTTTATTACATTAGTTGTTGATAATTCCAGGAGGATTTGGATGCCATTGTGGGGGGTCTTGACATAGCAAGGTACTACCGGGGTTGATAGGGTGTTTCTAAAATTGGTTCCATGGGATAAAAAAATCGGATATTCGGGCTCGGGTCTTTAGCGAGTACAGTGCCCATTAATCGATCGTCTTTCATGAGCGACGCGTATTCTTCGGCCAATGTAGACATTGATCAGCGCCTCCAACAAATGGAAACTAAATTCAATGATCGACTTCAGAATATTGATGATTATGTTCACCATGTGGATGATCGGGTGGAGAGTATTGAACAAATCCACCAAACCATCATCAATCAAAACCTCAGCATTATGAAGGAGCTCCGTAGGTTACGAGCATACTTCAACCGCCGTGGCCCTAACGGTGATGCAGGTGCTCCTATCACATGATGTATGTATTGGGTATATAGATATTGGTATTTTGCTTTGGTACATATATTAAATACTATTATGATTTGATTCTTGATAGATTGACCGATGATTGCACATATAGCTTATACATTTGAACTTGACTTCTCTTTTAAATTCCATCTTAGGATGTTGTGGCTGCTTGTGAGATTCTCAACAGTAATGTTGTGGAGGTGCAGTGCCAGGTAAGTATGGGTAACTTAAAGGATTGACTTTACATATCTTGAATTTGTTCAATCCAACATCCTAAATTTTTTGCAGGGGTTGGTTCCCTCGATTTCAGTGGACAACACCTCAGGTTGCTAGATGTACTGGTACCTGCATCAGAATCAGATGGCAAATAGGTATATATGTTTTCATTTCTTATATATATGTGTACTAAATTAGAGGAGCATCATACAACCACATATCAAGATTACTTGAACAAGTTTAGTGTAGGCATTTTATCATCCCTTATTAGAAGTAGTGTTATTGCTACATTGGATCATGCTGCGTATAAAGAAAAATGTAGTAAACCTCGGCTAGATGCATCTATGTTTGATTCTTGATGCAAGTGCTTTTTCTATCACATGATGTATGTATTTTGTATATTGATGCTTATATTTTATTTTGGTACACATATTAATACTATTATAATTATTTTATTGAAACAATCATTGATTACATTGTTTGATTCTTGATGCAGGCGTTGCTCTTATCGGTGATTGATGCATTAGGTATATTGATGTTTATATTTTGTTTTGGGAGATTTTAAATACTCTTATTGGTTATGGATGCATTAGATATATTGAATTTTATATTTTTGTGGGAGACATTAAATATTTTTATCGGTTATGGATGCATTAGGTATTGTAACACCCCCAGTTGGCTCATACTGGAAATGCTACCGCCACACTGCATCATGAGGTCGTCATCTCCTACTTCGGGCCCCACAATACAGTGTTAAGGCTAAAATTAACCATAAAAGTACATTATTATATAACAAAATCTGATTTATAAATATTTACAACACACACCCCTTAACAAGAGGTTTTTCCGATTAAAAATTTACATATAATACAATAGACGTAAGTTCACTCACTCAGCCCGTCTTTCTATATCCCTAGACGTCCCCTGTCTCGGATGTGTCATGCATACCTGAAACAAATATTTTCTTAAAAGCAGTCTAGAATTAAATCCATTTTAAGAACTAACGTGAAATATGTCATTTCATACCTTTTTAAAATAAAGTCTAATTCCCGTTAATCATAAAATACGTGTCATGTCATGCCAATAGTGAAATGATGCAATACAGATATCAAACTCGACAACAATGCACATCCACATATATATATCCGCCAAAGTGAGCAGCCGGAATAACCTCGGCTCCATAATAATAGGCTCACTACATCTGTCTAAGTGAGTAGCCGGAATACCCTCGGCCCCGTAATAACAGCTCACTAGACCATCATCAATAAATAGCCAGAAAATCCTCGGCTCAAGGAAGGACCTGATAAACTCATAATAATATTACGGTCATCCGGTCACTTCCATATACCCACCATACGACTCCCACAATCAATACATGGATAGCCGAACGTTGTCGCCATTAACCACAAGACGCCCCATAGTCTATGATAGCGAAGATAGGACCCTTGCTGACTAGCCCTATCCCATGTAATGTAGTAGAATCTGTGCAACTTGGAATCACCCAAGGGAAACCCGGAAACTCTACTCCTCCTCGCGCGCCCTAACGGGATCACTTTTGGAGTTTGGCATATGATCCTAAACTACCGGTAGACCTCACCAGTGGCCAGCCCAATGAGTGGAACAAAACCTAACACGAATGATTAGACCAAATACGTCTCAACTACCATGGGTCTAATCCCTGAATGACCATGCGACTAAGTCACCCAGTTGTCCGACTACTATCGTCCACTATCGCCAAAGTGTTACGGTACATCGGGGTCGAATATCCTAACCCCAGATAATGCCTTCGCCTAGCACTACCGCACACGGCGACTAGACGATAGATCCATAAATCAAATCCGATAAACCGTGCAATATGTGTGCAACATGCCAAATAAGTGAATTTACCGAAAAGGGTTGGTGAGACAGCTCACCTTTTCTCCTTTTCATAAATTCACCAATGCGATCAAATACGTATATCAAATATCATAAACCGTGAAGTCTCCCATATGCATACGCACACATATATATAAATATATACATGCACTGAAAAAATGATCCATATAATATCACATTAACATATTAATCAGAATTGCATGCAACATGCATACCTAATTTCTTAAAATTAGATTTAATTCCTTACTGCTTACCTCTTATCAACACTCCTTAGCTTTTGCAATCTCACCCAAATCTCCTCCAACGTACACTTGTCCCATTATTTACTCAAATCAGCTGAGCTATATGCTTATACATAGGAGCTACTTGCTTATTCAAAAACTAATTTCTATAGTTAGCTCGTTGGGTTTCAAACTTTTATATTTAGTAGACTACGATATTCTAGCTATAAAACTCTTATACCTCATAATATTTATATCGCCCGATTATTAAATAAAAATACTTAAAAGATATGAATAAACAGGCATGTGCAGTACACTGCCGTTTTCAATTCGGCTCGGATCGATATGAAATTCTCAGAATATAATACTAGGACTACGAATAGGCTATTAGCTAAAGAAATTCGTCGATTAAATAGCCAAATAGCCAGTTATAAATTTTTTGAAGAATTTCTAATTTAATATTCCCAATATCGAAATTCATATTAAAATCCATAATTAAATTCTAAGTATAACAAGGAATACAATACCGAAGTCGGAATCGATATCGAACGACTAAATCCTTTTCTTTCTTCTTTTCTTTTTCTCCTTTCTTCTCCTTCGTGTTTCTTCCTCTGCCTTCCTTCGCTTCGTAGGTAACTTTGCTTGTTTTTTTTACTTAATAAATATATTTGTATTATATATTATTATTATTATTATTATTATAAACATCTTTATCCTCTTTATTTATTTATTATATTATATTATTAAATTATATATTATATTTTTATATTTATCTTTATCCATATTTATCCATTTAACAGTATTTTCAATCATAATCAACATATCAAATAGGAATAAGATTTATTCCAAAATATTAATTTATTGATCCCAAAATATTATAAAAATATTTCTTTACTATAATAATATTATTTTATACACTCCAAAATCAGGGTATTACAGGTATATTGATGCTTATATTTTGTTTTCGGAGACATATTAAATACTCTTATCAGTTATGGATGCATTAGGTATATTGATGTTTATATTTTGTTTTAAGAGACATAATAAATACTCTTATCGGTTATGGATGTATTAGGTATATTCATGTTTATATTTTGTTTTGAAAGACACATTAAATACTGTTATGTTTAGTTTATTGAAACAATAATTGATTACATTGTTGAATTTTTATTCTTATGGAACATGATTGTCTATATGATTGTTAATCGTTTAGTTTTTAGAATTAAATTTAATTTGCTTGGAATTGGTTGATGTTGCTTGAATATAGTTTCTTTGGAATTGGTTGAAATAGATTAAATATAATTTGTTTTGAATTGGCTTTATTTTATTATATTTTGTTTTAAATTGGTTGATATGGTTAAATATAATTTGTTTGTAATTTATTGATTTTAGTTGAATGTGATTTGTTTGGAATAAGTTGAAATTCTTGAATATAATTTGCTTGAAATTTGTTGAAATATATTGATTTATTTTTTTTTGTTTGGAATATGTTGAAATTGACATGTATTTTGATTGAAATTGGTTTAATTTAATTTTTTAAATTTTGAATTTGTTGAAATAGGTTTAATTTAATTTATTTTGGTAATTTATTTGAAATTGGTGACATCAATTTTAAAATAATCTATTTTAAATAATTAGCTGAAATAGATTAAAGGTAATTTATTTAGAATCAAATTAATTTAATTTTTTTTTATCGAAATTATTTTACTGTAATTTGATTGTAATTGGTAGAATGAATTAATGAGGAATTTTGCAATGGATTTAAAAAGGAAATTGGTGACAGATTTAACGAGAGAATTAGCAGGGGATTTTAGCAAGGATTTACCGAGGGAATTAATGGGAATTGGCGACGGATTTATTGAGGAAATTATCAAGGAAATTAGTGAGGGATTTAGTGAGGGAATTAGTGAATGATTTAATGTGGGAATTAGAAAGGGAATTAGTGACGGATTTTAGCGAGGAAAATAGCAAAGAATTTAATCCTCTACAACCACTAAATAAATTGTAATTAATCCCTAGAAAAATTCCTCACTAAAATCCTTAGCTATAATTTTGCGATAGACAAAAAAATATCGCAAAGTGTTGCAACAAAAGGATTTGCAAAGGCTTGTTTTGCCTTAAAAATTCCTTCACAAATCAAGTTTTGTAAGGGATTTTATCTCTTAGCGAAGGGATAATTCCCTCACTAAACTCCCAAAACCGGTTTGTTTTTTGTTATAATTCAAAGTGTTTGGTATTTGGATACATTTGCACTCAATTAATTGTTGTTGTTGAATCGATACCTGTTTAAGTTGGTTGTTTAAACAAACAGATTTTACATGCATCAAATAAATTGATTATACTGCTAGTTGTTCTATAATTGTGTCGTTGTATGGATGTTGGTCCGGTGTCATCAAGATAGGACCCATGCTATAATTCTATTTATGTTGTTCTATATTTTGTTTTTTTTTTTTTACATGTGTCATCAAGATAGGCTCCATCTCGACTAAATTCTTATATACTTTTCTACTATGTTTGCAGCTTGTTCGTTGCTCGCAACTGCCGTGTACGTTCAATCCGACGCTGCATGGGGCTTGGCAGTGTGGCACGTGATTTTATGATGATTAACTTTTGTTTAGGATTGATGCTGACCTCATTTCCGTTGGTTGAACTTGCATTTTCTACTTTCTTTTGTATGTTTGTTTTTATGCTTTGTCGTATATGTTACGAGGAATTGCGAAGTAGTTATGTTCCTAGACAGAGCGTACTTAGTGCAATTGATATTTTATGTAATATTCTTATATTTCGTAATGTCGTTTGGGAGTGTTTTTCGTATCGTTTAGGTTTTTATTGAAAGAATAAGAATATTTTTTTTGTTACGAAATTGTGGTCGTTACAAATACCGTTACAAAACGTTTTAATGTTTTAAATAATTTTCTGACAATAAGCTATTGTAACAAAAATTATATCGTAACAAATGTTGTTACAAATGGATGAACATTTAGTGTAACGGTTCTTTTATTACGAGAAATATCCACTACAAATTCATCAAAAATTCAAAGTTCGCGTTACAAAAACCGTTACAATAAGTGATTAAGAAGTGCGTTGACCGTCCACTTTTTGTAACGAAAAAAGTTGGTACAGAGATTTTTTATAGCTCGAGTATATGTACCGGTCAAAATCCGGTACAAAATCGTTACAAATAGTTTTTTATAACAAAAAATGGTCATTTGTAGCAGTTTTTTAACCGCTACAAATAGCCATTTTTTCGGTAGTTGACTGAGAAGGACAACTAGATAGAGGTGGAATGGAGGTAGAAGTAGAGATGAAGTTGGCGGCCATGGTGGTGGTGGCGGCGGCGGCAGCGGCAGCAGTGGCGGAGAAGACTTTCCATGCAATGTAGCTACTGATTTTAGAAGATTAATATGGTGATGATTTTTCAAAATCTAACACTTGAATTGAGTGGTTATGTAATATCATCATATCCCTCTTAAAATAAGTCCTAGGGTATGATAAGTACCGTTCAATAGTCCAAATGCATTATGGATATTTTAACTATATATATATATATATATATTTGAATATACACGTATGCTTCTTTTTTTTTTTTTAAAGAATATATATATATATATTTTGTACAATAAGTTTTGTTTTTTGAAAAAAAATGAGATTATGCTTTGTTTTTTTGAAAATTAAATGAGATGTTGAGGTTGTGTTTGCTTTTTATTTTAAATTAAAATTATTATTATTCAGTTTGTTTGATATATACATATATTTTTATAAATATTTTTTTTTATCCCAACTCAAAATATTCTTTTTTATCATTTTTGTTTGTAAGTACTCAAAAGTATTCTCTTAGTAAAAATAATCATACACTAATATAAAAAAAATTCTTAATTTTTATTTAAATTACAAACATACTATTACACATATAATTAATTTATGCATAAGACAAATACAAAAATATCAACCTCTCACACACTTCCACTAACTAATAAAATACTATTCCCTCAGTCCGACTCTAAGGGTCTCATTTACCTTTTGCGTTATAGTATTTAATATTAAAAATATTTTTATATTTGTATAATTTTTTTGACAAATATCATTATAATAGTATTATAAGACACTAATAAAAGTATTTTTGCCTTTTTTTTTATTAATTTGTACTACGTTTTCATATAATAATTAATAGTAAAAAATCAACATGCAAAAAATAAATAGAACTCTTAGAGCTGGACAGAGATAGTATTATTTTTAAATTTACTGCAAAATAAAAAATTCATTGAGAATGGAACGAAAAAAATATCAAATTAAAATATTATTTAAATTAAAATTAAATAGAAAATTCAAACTCAAATCAAAACCAATCAAACCTTATACTAGAGTTTATTATGCAAACATGGATGTTGATATATATATATATATCAATTTAGTTATTGCTAATTTGAAGAAATTATATAATATTATAATATAAATACATCATAAAATTAAAAAATACGTGACATATCTATATAAAACACACGAAATACTCCTATGGAGCATGCGGCATCGTTGATTTTTCCAAATATTAAGAAAAATATCCCAAACCTACTTAAATTAATCATTTTTAAAATGATAATTATATTTACATAATTATTCGTGTTGTTTAAATTTATATTCTTGGTTATGTAATTGTACTTTTTAAATTTTTAAATATTTGATGTTGAATATCTAAATTGAAAATTTTATTTTAGTATACTCCTTCTGTTCCAATACAATAGTCTTGTTTACTATTTTCGTCCGTCCCAAAACAATAGTTTATTTCCATAAATAAGTATATCACTATAAAATTACCCATTTTTTTTTTATTTTATTACACAATTATCATTACTTTTTACACTAATACACTCACAAGGGCAAAAAAGTCTTTTATCTATACTTTTTACCAACTACCAATGTAATATCAATATTCTTTGAATCTCGTACTCAACCCAATTAAGATTATATTTACGGGACGGAGGGAGTATTATATAACTTATATAATACATTATCTGTACATATATTTTATAAAACAATATAAAATTCTATACATTACATATACTACCAAAAAAATGGTCTTTCACCGCGGCTTGAGGGTTCGTTACAATAACATCGTAACAAATAATATTTTTTGTTACGACAACTTTCGTTACCAAAAAATATTATCTTGGTCAATGTTTCAGGTTCTTTAATTATGCAAAATAATCCGTAACAAAAATGGAGTTGGTAGACTTTGTTCAAAATAACATTAGTTACGATTGTGCTTTGTAACAAATGGTGTATAAATTTATTTTTTAAATTATTCTTTTTAATTATATTAAAATAAATTCAAAGAAAAGGAAAAAAATGATTTTTATTAATAAAAAAATTATTTATTTTAATTATATTAAAATAAATAAAAAAAACAAAAAACAAACGCTTTTTATATCCTTAGTTATACAATATTCACACTTTCAAAAATTATTCCACCCATCTTCATAGACATTGCGACTCCGAAGCCCTACATCCTTCCGGTGAAATCGAAAGTGTTCGTCAGCCGTCACAGCTCACCACTGTTGAGTTGAGGAGCCACCACCAACTTATTTTGGTACTCGATATGTCCTTCGATTTTGTTGACCATCTGTTATGGTTGATTCGCTTATAGTTTTGAGAATCAAAAAGGTTCCCTATCCTTCGCCCTATGAGTCCAGCGCCGACAATGGTGTCATGACTTTTAATCGCCATCTCCAATGCCTCTTCAGGGACAATTGGTCACCTATCCCCTTGACGGCGAAGGTGTCCTCACCCTCCTAGCCCTATAAGTGTCATTTGTCCTCTCATTTGTTTCCCCATTTTTATGTACATTATTGTTCATTTTCATCGGTGTTGATGGTGTTGACTAGTTAGTTGAGTATGAAGTTCGGGTTGATTTGGTAGGTATTCTCTCCATCCCCAAACTTACACTTCCGTAACTGCCTCTTCAGCTTGCACTCCACCTGCTCGATCAATTGCTCATTCGGCTAATTTCTTCCCCCTTGATCCAAAACCAACTCTATATATCTTCCGAGTTGATAAGATTGTAGGCTTCTTATTGGATAACAAAATAAATCAGCTCGCTGCGGGCCTTTTTCTTACTTGTGATATGGCATCAAATTAAAGTCTTTTATTGAATTATATTTGTTACTCTCTTTATACATGTATTGTCTTCTAGCATTTTTCCTCTTTTCTTTAGTTCTTACAGGGTAGCTTCCATAGGTTTGAAATATAATATATATATATATATTTATTTTCTTGGAATAGGAGTTTGCTAAATTAAAGAAGAAGCTTTAGACCAGCAAAGCAAATTTGGAAAAGTTAAGATAAGAGAACGAGCATAAACATTTTTCTCTAAGTATTTTTACATCAGCCTTGTGAGTCAATTTTCAGCTTTAAATTGATTGTGGTTGATGATTCAATTAATCTATGTTCTGGTTTATTTATGTCTCATTCACCTGGCTTGTTTTATTTTGGTGTCTGCATTTTGTTTTGGTTGTTGGCCTTTGTTGCTCTTCTTGTTGTTTGTGTGTGGCAGTTGAGTCACTCTAGATTGTGAGAATTTTGGTGAGATGGTTGTGATTTGTGTTCGATTTGGTTGTGATCATTCTTGGAAAGTGTTGGTTTCATGCATATATCTTGGGTGGTAGTAACCTCAGTTTTGAGTTGCCAATGACTTCTGTTTTATTTTATTTTGGTGCTTCTTGAAGTCATGGAGTTGGAGGCTGATATTGGTGTATGGTAGTTTGTCTTTGATCGAATAGGTTGGTGCATAGGCAAGTTCTTCAAATCAGATTTTGATTGACAGTCATCCAGGTAACTGAGTAGTGCGAGGGGTGTGCAGAGTTGGTGTTGGCAGCATGGTTTTTCGGGTGTGCAACATTGAAGGAAGAATCTTGGATTCTTATGCATCCATTTGATATTCCAGTTCATTATTTTTTATCTAGACTGGTATTCTCCTCAACTCTGAGTTGCTGGTGACTTCTGTTTTATTTGATTTTGATGCTTCTTTAAGTCATGGAATTGGAGGCTGGATTGATCCAAGCAGTCCATTATTTGATTTGTTGTTTCCTTTGGCAGATGCAGTGGAAGTTCATCTCTGGTTTTGATATTGTGAGTTTAGTTCTCATCATGGGATTTCATCTATAGTTTTGATTCTTGGAGGTAAATTTTTTTATTGTTGGCTTTGCATTGAGGATTGAACATATCAAGTGTGATTTTTGGTTGATTCTTCCTTTTGGTTGGTGGCTTGTTATATCCTTGCGCTTGAGTTTGCGGTTTGGAGATCATGGATTGGATGATTGGTGCAATATTGGTTATAGGAGGTATTCATTGGGTTTGTTGTTAATCTAGTCTAGTTGTGGGAGGTTGGTATGGCTTGAGTAGCCGAATTGCTTGGGATTTTATGGTTTTTGTAATCATGTTCAGGCTTTGGATGGTTGGATTTGGTAGGTTTCTTTTAGTTTGGGTCTCTATGTTCCTATGTATATATAAGATATATAGATAATTTTGATATATATAGATTTAGTATATATTGGTTTAATTAGAGGTTCGTTAAAAAAAATTATCTTTTATATTCATTCCATCCAATTTCTTTCATTTTTAAATTTTATTTTCTCCAATTGAATGCTTGATATAGT